TATAGAAGGATTGTTTTTTATTTATTTATGATGATTTGAACCAAAATCTAATTTTCTTATTCGTGATTAACAAAATGCAGTTTTTAGATATATAAACGGGTTTTAATTACAATATATGAATCATTACTATACAAATTATCAATTTCAATGTCTAGTATCCGCATATTATGCGGGTCCTAATTTTTTTATTCGAAAGAAACAATTTTTTTTATTTACATTTTATTTATAAAATTTATGATTATATATTTTAATGTTTTAAAATATTAAATAATTTATTTTTATTCTAAATACTATATAAGATATTCGGACAAGTTAAATTTAATATTTTTTTTTACTCTAATGTATTATATTTTGATTTGACATATTTACATACATAAAATAATTAAATGGTAAAACTAAATTTTTGAAATTCATATTATTAATAAAAATGATATCATTGACCAAAAAAATTAACAACAAAAGTATCGACAACTACATATTTTATATATTTAAAGATTTTAAAATTAAAAATAAAACTACAAGCATCGGACGATCGATTAAAATTAAAAACAAAACTATATATTTCATAGTAAATCTATAATAGTATAGTTGTTTTCAATACTAATTTGCCAAGTCCTCCGTTAAATGTTGACGATCGAGAACGGAAGAAAAAAGAATAATAATAGGGGAGACTGTTGACTGAACTGATTAGGTAGAGTTGGGGCTTACAAGAATCGGACGATGGAGAAACGATCTTTTACATTTTTAACCCTTCAATATTGGACCAAGTTAGATTTTGACCTTGTACTATACTCAATCACTCTTCCTCTCAGGCGTACGTGTCGCGATTGGCCAAATATTTGGACACACGTGTGCTTCACATGTGAATCTCTCGAAAACAACTATATGCATCTCTTTTTTTTGGTTTTCTGTAAGCGAATGATATGCATATACTGAATTATTTTGGACTAAATGTTAGGATGTATACCTTTTACTGATTTTACATTGTTGTTAGAACAACTTATTGAATTACTGAAAGTTGAAAC